AAGTTATTTCAGCAATACAAAAACTATATTATTAAAACATTCACGTGCACAAGTAAAATTAAGAAAGTTACATTTGAGAAAAAGTTGATAATTATATTTAGAGAAAACTATTCGAGGAAAACGCAATAGAGTATATTACGAGTCTTTTCCTTTACAATAAAACATAATTTAGTTTTTGTTTTATATTAAAAAATTATTTATTAATTATTAATTAGCATTGGTATTGAGCTTTCGGATGTTGAGATATAATACGCCATTTAACGGCGCCAGCATGGCTCCCCTCGGATCAATTTGCACTGGTATTGTAGTTTTTTCACTCGGTGTCACTTCACATTTTTTCAAGATTTCCATGATCCCTAGTTTCGATTGTAGAAGTCCGAAACGATTTCCTGCAAATTGGTAACAAAATTGTATTACTTATCACAGTACAGTAAGGAACGGTAATAAACGAAAAGATATTATTAACTTAAAATTTTTTTTATTTGTTCGTAATGGATAAATAATTAAATTAAAATCGATCGTCTCACCTATGCACGCGTGCGGGCCTTCTCCAAATGGGAAATAGACAGTTGACGGTCTGTTGCGTTTGTTCTCCTCGTTAAATCGCTCCGGATCGAATTTCTCTGGATTGGGAAAATATTCCGGATCGTAATGCATGCCGAGCATCGATATGTAAACCGGCGTATCCTTCTCAAGTACAAGATTGGAATTCGGTAATTTATAAGGCTCGGTTGTTATTCGATTTAGATATCCCAATGGCGGATACATTCTCAAACTTTCCGAGACTACCATATCCAAATACGGTAGTGACATTACCTAATAGTAAAGACATGTTATTCGTCATAATCTTACTTTATTTCTTAATTACTTGGTTTGAAGATTTGTTTCAGAAAAAAATAATAAGTAAAGATGAAGATGATTTGACAACATATTCATAATTGCGTGTCGAAATACAAAAATTTATACTTATGCGTACTCATTACAAAAACTTGTTTACCATAAAATAGCATGTGTAATGAAAATTACATAATGACAATTACGTTACCAAGTCATATGTAATTTTTCCATTGGATTGCTCGAGCGCTTCGAGAATCTCTTTTCTCAACCTGTTTTGCATTTCAGGACACAGTGCGAGTTCGTACAACGCGAAAGATATTGTCGTTGCGGAGGTCTCAAAACCAGCTGAGAAGAAACTGGCTGCTTGTGCCATAAGATCGTCTCCGTCATATGCTAAAATTTAGTTTATAGGTAAAGTTTCAAAGATTTCCATTCTTATTTGTCACGATTAATTATCTGAATCTTTTCTTAAATCCCGAGAAAAGATGGTATAATTGGCCAGATGTAAATATATATAATTAGTTATGAAAAGATCTAATAATATGTGTAACTTTATATGATATAAAATATTACATGTTATCAGATCTTTTCACAATTATATACAGGGTGTTTCATAATGTTCGTGCCAACGCTCGTGTGCGGGTAGAGTGCGGTAAACTGAATAAAAAAATTCTTTACTGCTTTGCAATTTTCGCGCTAATAATTGAAATAGTAATTAAAAAGGATTGACGAATAATCGCACGTTGCATGGATCGTACGCTCTAGGCGTCACAGCAACGAGGATCGCATGAAAAATACTGCTCTCGCTATGCGTTGTTATTTTTCATTGCCATGCGATCCTCGTTGCTGTCACGGTTTAGCAGCACGCAACGCGTGATTATTCGTCAATTCTTTTTAATTACTATCTCAATTATTATTGCGAAAATTGCAAAACAGTAAAGGACTTTTTTATTCAGCGCATTTACCGCACTCTATCCGTACACGAGCGTTGACACGGACATTATGAAACACCCTGTATATTTATATTTGATCATATTATACCATTTTTTTCTCGGGATGTTTCAGAAACTGTATGTTAATTTTGTCGTACTATTATGAATTTTATTTTCTAGGTTTACACACATATATATATATATATTAATTTTTTGACTGCTATCAGCGCTTTTAGGTACTTGTTGAACAAGAAAAAATATTTTACTTGCAATGATAAGACAATTGAGTGATTGAACGATTATTTTAAATGCGAAAACGATCTGCATAACGCACGAAAAAGTGTTCCGTATACAGAAACGACTACTGTTTCAGCTCGCTCATACATCTTTTACTTTTGAGTATTTCGCAGTTAAAGGATTAAATATACTTAACAAAATGTTTGTACGCAAACTTGGAGAATTATTGCCATTTATAGTTATTTTACTTACTGAAATCTTCAAGAGTATTTTGATCATTGGCATTTTGCTTGAGTTCGACGAGTATATCGATGAGATCGTTTCTCTTCGCTCCAGACTTCATGCGCTGATTGATTGTTTCCCAGAAAACCTTTCGCAGAAATTCAGTCGGCTCTTTGCCAAACATCTTTACTTTGGCCAAGCGAACTATCTCTGGAAGGAAAAATATCGCGAGCATCTCGAATCCACGAATTGCGTTGTAATGAAAGATCATCTTGCCATATTTGCGAAACTCGGCGTCCGGATCTTTGAACGAATTTACTTCGAGTCCAAAAGCAGTACTGCCGATTACATCGGTGGTAAATTTGGCGGTTAATTCTTTTATTTCTATCGTCTTTCCTTTACCTGTCAGCAGATAAATCGGTTGTTAATAACTGATTTATTTAGCTATATCTAAATATTTGACACCAATTCTCTTCTCAATGTTCTTATTGTTATGAATAAATATAATCGTGCATTTTGTGTGAATTTATGCTAAAAGACTAAAATTTGATTTTATTCTTTGTAATAAATATTATTTTTTATAGCAATTGATTTTAACAAAGTTTCATATTTTATGTATACAAGTCGCACATTTTGTTTCGATTTCTTGATGAATGTAGCATAAATTTTAATTATACAATAATTTGACAAGTCATTTCTTAATAACTTAATTTTTACTAAAAACAAAATTTTATACGGAAGATATTCTATCATATTATTATTAACATTTTTCCATTATTTTTGTTTTATCATCATGTAACATATATTATTAATTTTTATAGCTGCACTTTTTATTTTCAAATTCTGTTTATTTTGATATTGGTTACTTTTCACGAATTATAATATTTCGTATTTACCTTCAAATTCCGGTGAATTAAGATGTTCGTCTAAATGTTTCCCACATTGAATCATCAACTCGAACATTTTCTTCATTTTACCGGATGTAAAGAATGGTGTCATTTTCGTTCTAATAATCTTCCAAGCTTGATTTCTGAGGAAGAATAGTGTGGCGTAACCTAAACGATCCTTCGGATCCGCAAGAACGTAACGGTTGGAGAAGTAATTAAAATCCTTCACTAGAATGTTCTTGACAAGTTCTCGGTCGCGAATCAGCAGAATGGGTTTGTCCAAGACGTAAAAACCAATATAAGGTAGACCTTTCGCTTGGTCGTACAGCTCTTTTAAAAAGTCTGCTGGTGCTTTCTTGAAAAGTAGACAGTCTGCGAAATTGCCAAAGAAAGGTGTCGGTGGTGCCGTTTCCGAAATACCTCGCTTCTTCCAGTACTTGAACTTGCGAGTCATATAAAGGTAGAAAACTACCATCAGAGTTGTTAAAACTAGTATGCCATCCAGGCCCCAGTATGACGTTAAGAGTGCCATTTCACAATTTATTTATAAAATTAATCCTTTTTGCGTTCAACTGAAAAAATAGAAGATTCGATAATTTGTTGCGTTAAAGAAATATGTGTCAATATAAGTAATTGATCAATAATATGTATTTTACAATTAGAGAAATGGATAAACTGACACATTTTAAAATTTATTAATAATTCTTCTAATAAGCAACAAATGCGCAAATCTGATCCTAAAGAAATATAAAAATCCACGGATACAGAATCTGCATAACATTGACACAATCGAAAACATGTTGCAAGAAAAATATAATATTTAATATATACAAAAGCACTGTCACTTAAAAAATTTAATTTTGAACGTAATAAAATGCTACTTTGCGTAAAACTAAAAATTCGAATTTGCGATTTAAATTAAATTTCGATTTTTATTAGTATCACTTTCTGTCACAGCAAAACGAAAAGAGATTGATCTCGCACGACTTGGACTTTTATACCCCAGAACTTCTATTTACAAATATTTCGTTTGACAATGATTAATATTTGATTGGTTGTTGTTAATTCTTCTATGCCAAACATTAGCTGTGTGTTTCGACAATGTAGGTATGTAAATTTGATCACATGCAGTGCGTGTGAAAGGAACTTGTGATAATCTCGTGCTAACAGTATTTTCTTAATAACATAATGTAACAACAAGTTGAGTTATGAAGACCGTTTATTAAAATATAATGAATGTTGTGGTGCACTAAATATCTCAAATATTCTGTTTATTTTATTTTAAAATAATTTTACTAAGCGCGATGTAAAAATTTGACTATACTTTACGGCGTATTAATTTTTAATTTTTAATACAACATAATACTGACTTTATTTATTTGCATCTAAAACTGATACTCTCTAAATAAGTTAGACTCTTCGATTTGTAAACATATTTGAATATTTTAAATATTTTGAATAAAATATACGTCAAAATGTATATTATAACTAAAATTATGCATTAATGAAGGGGGGATTTATGAAATCTTGAATATTTAATTTATTCCTTTGTATTCGAATCTGAGTTAATAATTAACAAATACCAGAAATATTGGAACATTATTTTTTAGCAGAATAATTGAAAGAGTTAGTAATACAATTTACTTTCAACAATTCTCACCGTTAAATAAAATACAATATCTATTCGAAACCGAGTTTATTAAATGCAAACGCGATGTTTTCCGCACAGCGAACTAAACTTTTGTATAATGCAGACGGCTGTATATATAACGTCCAGATTCCCTTTCCTCTCGCAAAACGCCGTAGAGACTTGTCATTTTGATCTAATGTCGAGATTATACACACGCAACTTGATTTAAAAATATTTTTTACACTATGTTATTACATTCAATGATCTTTTAAAAGGTCAGTTTTTTGCTTACTTCTAATCTACTAAGTAATAGTAACTGATTGACATGTTATTATACAAACAGAGTATTATGATAGTGAATTGAGTAGGAAACTCACTTCAATTGATGTCTCAATAACCGTATTGTGCAACAACTACTTCATTTCTTTCTATTTTTTCATTTTTATTAGAAAGTAATATTTTTTAAATATTGCAGCGCGTGTAGATTTTTCTTACGGATGCAAAGTACTTGACCCAGATAGCAAAATTGGATAAAGCACATTTTACAATTAATGTGCTTCATATTATATTGGCAAAATGTTATTAATATTCTAGCAGGATATGCCGTTATGTGATATCAACGGAAATGCATAAAAAATTAAGCACAACGTGCTTCACGATGCAACAGAAATAGAAATGCGTCAAAAATTGAGCAGAGCTCATCAGCATAAACATATCGCAAATTTCAAACATTGTACATTGGCATAATGTGTCGGCAGAATGCACACCGAGATTGCATATAGCCTGCTGTCATGGTGTGACAGCAGATTGCCGTCAGAAATCAAACTTATGAGAGCGTTGCGACGGCAGATCGTGCTCGATTTCCGGTGTTCACATTGTGTTGGCACATCGTGCTGGAGTAAAGCTTAATGAGGACGCAGTGGAGGACGGAATCTGCTGTTAATTCGTGATCTGCTGGCATACTGCTGGTATGCTGCTAGCATTTTGCTGACTGGGTCGCTACACGGATATTCTTCTGATAAAATATTACTGATTTGCATAAAATTTTCTGTTTGTTTTTATTAAATAGAATTAAAGTTTAAACGAAAAATTAAACATGTATCGAAGAACTTGCACCGAAGAAGTTAAATACAGACATTTGATTTTGAAGTTTTCTTTTTAAACTTGTTCACACCACGAAACGTGTCTTGTTACACATGTCTTGTTACACGTGTTTACACACACAACTTCCATTAAAAATAAAAAGTACTATTATAATATGTACATGATTACTATTAATACTATTATTATACATAATTCATTTTGTTGTGTTATCATTTGGTTATCTTTCTTGATATCGCTTGTTATGACTAATATTAATATTCATATTTATTGCGTCACCACTTACATATTATAATGAATCGTTGCCATGAAATGACTTGTTGTTTTCTTGAAAGTGATTAATTAGTGTGCTGCTATTCACTCTACATTATGAGTCTGTAATTAAGTGCAACATCTTATTAGAATTACGAGAACAACAATTAAATTTTTATTAACTACGCAAATTCTTTTAGCAGGAATCTTGAACAAAATTTATCACCATTTTCATATTTGTTATTATTAAATGTGCAAATTTTTATTAATTATTTTAAATTAAAAATTAAAGATCGAAACGTTTGTAATTGTTTAAATTTTACATAATTTTGCACAGGCGCGTTTTAACAATGCATTCGTATCGGAATATTCTCGATGTTTTGATTATTTTAGACGCATCTCTATGATATACTTATGATGATGAATGATATACTTATTTTCAATTACATCTTGTGTTATGATAAATTTTATATAAAAAATTTAATTAAAAAGTTTGTGATGGAAACAATAGTGATTTAAATGATAGTGATACTTTGATTTTTGTTATTCATCTAGTTTCTAGGAAGAAAACAAGCAATGTCATTAAACTATTTCCAAAGCAATTACGTAACAGAATTACAGAGAAAAAATCTCTTGACACTTGTCCCAGTAATTATTTTTTGTTTTCTATAAAAATATTTTATCTATGTTTTTTTAAGTGCGCTATATTGTCAATGTAATAATTCTTATTAATTTATTATCAATAATGTTTACTAACTCTATTAATTTTATCTTATTAATTTTTATCAGTTTTATCTATTACGCATATTATTTCTCGGTTAATAATCTCAAAATTTGTAAATAAACAAAAGTCATGATAGATTTTATACAACAGTAATAAGTAAATTCCTAATTGAGACAATATATGCAATTATAAAATATATGTTTATATGTAAAAATTTTATAACGTAATTGATGGAAAAGAAAAATCAAAAAGAACCAATTTACTATTGTTTCTGTGTAGATATTCAATTTATTGAGTATTCGAATATACTTTGGGTCATTTTTAATAAATCTTATAATTTTCTAAACAATATATATCTGAGATATATAATTCAGATATTTTTTGAAAATATAAGCTTATGTGTGTGTGTGATGTCAACCCGATTTGATGACACCTTCTTTACACTAATTGTTATTTTCGAACGTTAATTGTTACGTTCAAGAAGTTTAAGCAGTTATTAGAATCAATTTCCGTAAACTTCCATTGTAAACAGTAATTTAAGATGGAAGGAAATTCAATGTCGAGAATATCTTTGGATTTTTAAATGTATGACTACGAGACGAGCGTTTAATGCGCGCGATTACGTGATACGACCTACACTTATTTCAAGGAAATGAACTTCTCTGATTATTTTTTATTAACTTCCTTTTCCTTTAACTTTTATGATGGACGTGGAACGCAAGTGAACTGCAATGACGCGTGAATTCCAATGACGAATCGCTTTTCCTGCACAATGCAATACATTTGTGCACATTTCCGTTCCGTTGATAGAAACGTGACGCATCTCAAAATTAGTAACTTTTCGGTAGAGCATTTTTAAAATTCTGAATTGGAACAACGTTTTCATTAGGATAGTGATTATGCATAACCTTATTTTTTTCCCGTGTTATATTTTCAATGACAATGTATTTTTAAAACTATGTCAATGTGAATTGGGAGGGAATTAAGGTTAGTTTTTTTTTTTATTATCACAAAAATGCTAATTTTTGACTTGTGTCACTTTTCTATCAATGGAGCGATATATGTATATATCGTCCTCCTTTTGCCAAAACAATGAATGTGCAAACTTTCTTCAATTTCGTTTTTCTTTGTAAAGTTTATTTTGTATTACTTGATTTTATATTTACAGAGCTTCAGAGCCTAGGATACTTTAGATTCTAGGTTCTTCTAAAGTATTTTAGGCTCTGAAGCTCTGTAAATTCAAAATCAAGTAGTACAAAATAAATTTCACGAAGAAAAACAAGGTTGAAGAAAATTTGCACATTTATGATTTTGGCATAAGAAGAACGATATTGTAATTAATTAACAATTGAGAGAAAATATTTTATCATAATTAAACATTCAATTTTTAATTAAAGAAGCACAATAATCAACAACAAAAAAATAATATTTTATTGCAGTTTTCTTTTTTTTATTACAATGAATTAAATACAGTTTATCACACATCGATTAAATATGCAAGAAGAACATATTGTTTTATAATGAAGAGTATATTAATATGCATAAAAATAATAGTAATAAGTAAACAAATTTTTGATAAAAAATATATAATATTTGTACATATGTCATAGCCTTTTTGCGAAATTAGTTTTTTTTGCAATAAGGCTAGCTTTTATGCAAAACAGCGCCTTTTTGCGAAAACATTGATTATTTCTCAATTAGACTGATTTAAAGCAAATATTAAAAATCAACTTCTTTATTGTTTATTATTAAGAACAAAACAGATTTACACTCTACTTAAATGCACGCAGGATGTATATATGATAATAATTATACATACTATCGTGCCATAACGTTATTATGTCTGCAAAATTAAATAATTAGTACTTCTAAAGTAGTTAAATAAAACGTGCGAAAATTACAGGTTACAAAGACATACGTATGTATGTGATTCTTAATTTTTTGTTTTCGGCATGATTAAAGGAAATGCGATTATTATCTTTGCGATTATTATGATGCCTTGTACATATTTAAGTAGAATACTGCAGTAGGATAATTATCACGGAATGTTTTGCAACAAATGTTGATTTTTAAGATTTATATTACACAACATAACGTTTTAATATGTAAAACTTTTGAAATATAAATAGATATTTGTATTATTTTACTTCTATATTAAAATTATAGCTAGATTAATGCAGTCACATGAAACGAGTACATTTTTAAATACGAGTACATTTATAACCAAAAACAGTTGTATCTTTTTGAAAAATATAAAATCTGGCTGTTAAAACAGACTCTAGGATTCCCTTAAGGTTCCACAATAAATTTTTTCAAAAGTATTGATAAAAATTATTTTCAAGATTTCTAGTGATTCTAGGTAGCACTTTAAGAATTATGAAGATTATTATTATAGACCAAAACGATTAACAATTAAAAACATTTTGACTCTGAACACAGCAGAATTGTTTAAAGTCAAATATATTTTTTTAATTGTGATTTGAAATTGAAGTGCATTCTAACATTTCTTTTGTTTTAACTACAATCTGTGCAATTTTATTACGTCAAATTTTAGTATTGGTGTTAATTTTTCGTATGTTAAGATATATTACGCCGTTTAACGGTGCCAGCATGGCTGCCCTCGGATCAGCTCTTATTGGTATTGTAGTTTTTTCACACGGTGTTATCTCACATTTCTTTAAAATTTGAATGAGTCCCAGCTTGGATTGTAAAAGCGCGAAACGATTTCCTGGGAAAAAATACATAATAATAGATAATTTATCAATTATTTTAATAAAAATTAAATTGTAACAATAAATATTATTTTAATAGCAATATTTTTCGTAATTTACACTTTGCAATTAAGTTAAAATCGATTATCTCACCTATACACGAGTGCGGGCCATCGCCGAACGGGAGATAGACGCATGACGGCCTGTTATGTCTGTTCTTCTCATCAAATCGCTCCGGATCGAATTGCTCCGGATTGGGGAAGTATTCCGCATCATAATGTAAACCAAGCGCCGAGATGTAAACAGGTATATTCTTTTCAAGTACGAGATCAGAATCCGACATTTTATAAGTTTTGTTTGCCACGCGATTTAGATATCCCAATGGCGGATACATTCTCAAAGTTTCCGAGAGTACCATGTCCAGATATGGTAGTGATTGGATCTGATGGTAAAGATATATTATTTTTTATATTTTATTTTATACAGGATGTCCCAGAATAGCCACAACGTTAGTGAGCGGATAGAGCGTAATAAGTCGAACAGAAAAGTCTTTTACTGCTCTGCAATTTTCGCAATAATTATCGCGAAATAAACTAAAAAGGATTGGCGAATGAGCGTGCATTTCACGCGGCTAAATTGTAGAATGTATGTACGCTCTGTAAGCGTGACGGCGGCAAATGTCGCACGGCAACAAAAAGAAAAGATCAGTCGGCGAAAAAACAAAAGTAACGCACAACCAATGAGCGGACAGGAGTTTTACTTTTCGTTGTTGTACTACACTCGCCGCCGGCACGCCAGCACACGTTTAGAGAATACACATCTCGCAATCTAGCTACGCGAAACGCGCGTTTACTCGCCGATTCTTTTTAATTAACTTCTTCGTAATTATTGCGAAAATTGCAAAACAGTAATGGATGTTTTGTTCTGCTTACTCTTCTCTACGCACTCACGAGCGTTGTCGTGATTATTCTAAGACATCCTGTATATTAGTAATTCTATATTAGTAATTATTCTAATGTAATGTTTGTAGTATTTGCATTGTGCTTATATAAACTTGTTAACAGCTTGTGAACAGATTATGACATTTGCATACCATATCGTATGTAATCTTTCCATTAGATTGATCAAGCGCGTGAAGAATTTCTTCTCTTAATCTATTTTGTATTTCCGGTTTTACTGCCAGTTCATATAGTGCAAAAGCTATCGTCGTTGCGGAGGTGTCAGAGCCAGCCGAGAAGAAACTGGCCGCTTGTGCCATGAGATCGTCCCCATCATATGCTAAAATTTAGTTTATGCATAAATTTTTGGAAATATCTCTTATTTGCTACAATTAATTTTAGTTATTGGAATCAATCGCGGAATTATACTTCCATTTTATCATAATGTATCATTATCTATATATTTAATTTTCTCTTTTACGCTTATCAAATCTAAGCAAAACAAAATCTATGAATAATCTTAAAAAGTTATTATTTATGATTATTTTGCTCTCTTACTGAAATTTTCAGTATTCTGATTTTCATTATTTTCCTTCAATTTGACAAGAATATCGATGAGGTCGTTTCTCTTCACGCCAGAATTTATTCGCTGTGTGAAGGTCTCCCAGAAAACCTTGCGTAAAAATATAGTAGGCTCTTTGCCAAATATCCTTATACTGAATAAAGAAACTATACTTGGAATGAAAAACACCATGAGCAATTCGAAAGCGCGGACAGTACTGTAATCAAATATCATCCTTCTGCATTTGCTGAATTCAGCGTCCGGATATTTGAAAGAATTCACTTCGAGTCCAAAAGCGGTGCTGCCTACCACATCCGTGGTAAACTTGGCTGTTAATTCTTTTACGTCTACGATGCTTCCATTATCTGTCAATAATATTAGCGGCAAATTCAATCAATTAATCTGTGAATATCTATCTGACATGCAGCGCGGAAACTTAATTTCTCGAGAAATATATCACGGAATTTAATTTAGTGGGCTTTGTAGTTTAAATCGATTTTAATGCTTATATTATTTATTTCTTTTTTAATTTTACTTCAAATTACTATATTTTTAAGATATGGTTTATTTGATATTATAAAAGGTAGGACCAAATTATTGACACATTTGCACTTCGTTTTATCAAATATTTGTAATATTCTACTAATTTTTGTCACTTTATATAGTTGCAATAAACACCTTTATTTCTAGATTTTTTTCTAATGCAGTAAAATATATTTTAGAAATTATTTAGCACTTACCTTCAAATTCCGATTTATCAAGATACGCGTCTAAATTTTCTCCGCATTGTAATATTAAATCAAACATTTTTCTCATTTTACCAGACGTGAAGAATGGTGTTAACTTTGTCCTCAACAATTTCCAGGCTGGATTTTTGATCAAAAAGAGATTGGCGCATCCCAGACGATCATTTTCATCCGCTTCTATGTATCGATCAGAGAAGTGATTAAAATCTTTCACTAAAATTTGCTTGACAAGTTCTCGATCACAAATCAGCAAGAAGGGCTTGTCCAAAACATAAAAACCAATATAAGGTAGGCCTTTCGCTTGGTCGTAGAGCTCTTTTAAAAAGTCTGCCGGTGCTTTCTTGAAACGTAGACAATCCGAGAAATTGCCAAGGAAAGGTGTTGGTGGTGTCATTTCCACAATGCCTCGTTTCTTCCAATAATTGAAATTGCGAATCATGTAGAGGTAGAAAACTGTTATAATAGCCGCTAGAACTATTATGCCGTCCAGACCCCAGTAAGCCGTTATGAATGCCATTTTGTCACTTTATAAATCTATTCCTTTTTGTATTTAACTGAAAAAAAAATAGATTTCGACAAATATAGCATAAGAAAAATTGGTATTAATATAAATGAAATATGTGAGTAAATATGTGAGTAGAACTTTATCATATTACGTTTTATTAAACTATATATAATTCCTGAAAAAAGTTAATTTTAATAACAATTAAAGACTATTGCATATTTTATATTTTAATTTTGACATATTTTTTTATAAAATATAACATATCTCGTAAAATATTTAATTTTTATTTCTTACGTATTTATTCTAATATATCTATATGTCTTCATTTTAATGTATTTTCTAAAAATATTCAGATATCCTTATTTCCAGTTTTAAATAGAATTATAATGACGTTAAATTTACATTTAAAAAAGATATCTACAATAATGAAATGCTATTGTGCATGCAGGTGCATTAATGCATCTATATACATACAGAATATAGACATACAGAACATAAGAAATACTATCATTAATCAATTTCTCTCGCAATTCTATGCGGAATGTTTCCTAATGTTGAAATCAACGTTCGTGCAGGGATATAAAAGTTTTTTTACCGTTTTTTGCAATTGAGTAATTTTCGCAATAATAAATAAGATATTAATTGATGAATAATCATGCGTTGCACGCGGCTTGACCGTGGAGCTGTACGGGATGGATCAACAGCGCGTCACATGGTAATGAAAAAAACAACAGTACGCAGATCCAGCCTCACACGCCGTTTTTGCCCACTTGCGTATTCCCCAGGCGATACACTGCTGATCCACCTAAACCGTACAGCTCACGGCCACGCGCTGTAGTATTATTAGCGCAGTGTGGTATTATTATATATACCATTATTCGTCAATGCTTTTTAATTAATATCTCAATTATTATTGCAATAATTGCAAAACGATAAAGGATTTTTCAATTTACCGCGCTCTACCCGCACACGAGCGTTGGCGCCAACATTATGAAACACTCTGTATAAAGCGTATGAAGATAATAGTAAATAAATACTTCATGAAATATATTTCATACAATACTTTACGGCAAAATTTATATCGTAATAAAACATCTCACCCGTTAATATTTTGATGAGATTATCTTTAAAGTTTTATATGTAACACAATTATGAGAAAATTAATTTATGCAAAAATTTTTGTATGGTTTTGTTTATAAAAATGTGAATAATTTTCAAGTGTCGAGAAAAATGAATTTGATAAAAAATCAAATTTTGCTGACAATAACATGTTTATTTCTCTAATCTTTTTCATATATTCTTCATATTGTCACAAAGTAACAGAAATTCGTTAAGTATAATATGAACTTAGAGCTAAGTTAAAAAAATGTTTTATATATTACATTAGAGTGAATTAAAAAGGTTAGTGACAAAATTGATCTCTAACAGCTCTTACCGTCAAATAAAAAACACGGAATATCCTCAAAAATCGAGTTGTGCACACGTTATCTTCATTGACGCAGCAATAATGGAACATTTGCATTTGTGCCGCTATATTTATAACTTGCACGCCACTATTGCCTTTCCCTTTTGCAATACGTCAATAAGTGTTTTTGCCTTATTTCAACGTAGAATTCTCGCACATTATATAACTTGTTAATCATCAATCTTTGTCGATGTGAGTGTAAATATAACTCATGAATCGAATACTTAATATCATGATTTAAAAGCACAGTTTTTTGTTTTATATATAGCCTAAAGAACAGTTTCTTATTTTATTTAATTTAAATAAAGTATAATTAATTATTTAAAGATTATTATGAAGATTATTATTTTAACAAATATTATTTAATTAATATATTGTTATGCAAACAAAGTATGATATTAACAAAATATCAAATCGATGTCTATAATTGTTCTACATTGCAATTGTCAATTTAAAAGACTACTAGTAAATATTCAATGCGTGCAGATTTTCATGAAGTGAATAGAAGCTATTTAATTTGCGTTTTGTAAAGAATATTATAACAATATTTTTTTGAGATTACCATTATCTTATCATTATCTTATCTACTACTGTCTATTTCGTTGTGATAAGTCAGTTTAAACAAATAATTTATTTCGAAGATTACAGGAAACAATGACTTTTCTGAAAGAAATAAAAAAAATGATGCTGGCATATTTTCACACAATTTGTCAGTTAAAATATGAAATACATGTTTATTTAAGATGCTACAACGATTTCAGAAACCTTTATATAATTGGCGCTTTATATAATCCTTAAAATTGATGCCTTGATTTATATTGATATCTTATTCCAAGGTTTTTTTAAACGACTTACATATGTATATCTGATATGTAAAATAACTACATGCAATCGCAATATATGCAACATATTCAATGATTTAATTTTACTTATCTTTACTTTAATATTACTTTACTTTATTATTACATTAAAACAAATTGTATATTTAAAAAATCGGGCGAATTGCATCTTTTGCTTCAAACGTAATCAGTATAAAAAAATGATTCTTTTATCAGATTTTCACATTATTTATTCGTCGTATGTTCAGATATATTACGCCGTTTACTGGCGATAGCAAGGTTCCCCTTGGATCAACTTTTATTGGTATTGCAGTTTTTTCGCATGGTGTTACTTCAAACTTGCTTAAGATTTGAATGAGACCCAGCTTCGTCTGTAAGCTCGCGAAACGATTTCCTGCAAAAAATAACAGTATTGTATAATTTATTATAATGTGTCAATGAGAAAGCAAAGAGTTTATAATGTAGGAATGTAAAAATTACAAATGTATGAGAGAGTGAGGAAACAAGCGGCAGAGATCTAAGGCCCTACGTACAATGGAGAAAATATTAGGAATAAGAATAGATATTAAATATTAGGAAAAAGAATTTGGAATTATTTTACTTCAAACAAAAGAACGAAATGTATTAATTATTCCTAATTCTTAATTTTCAATTCATGATACATCCCATTTTCTTGTTCTGAAATGAAATAATTCCAATTTTTTATCTCTAATATTTAATAAATATTAAATTAATTTAATATTAACTTATATTTTATATTAATATTAATATATTTTATATTTATTTTATATTTTATATTTATTTTATATTTATAAATATATTAATATATTTTATATTAATATTAATTTAATATTAATTTAATATTAATTTAATATTTATTAAAACGAGTCCGACTCGCAATGTTTGGTTTTATCGAGTTGTTTTTGTCGTGCTTAACTATATGCTCTATATCTCCTCTTCCTTCTTTTTCTTCTTCTCCTCCTCCTCCTCCTCCTCTCTCTCTCTTTCTCTCTCTCTCACTCTTACTCACTCACTCTCTCGTATATATCGAGACGCATATACTTATTGTTGTTTACTCTTTGCATTCTTCCACATTGGAATCGGCGCAACCTTGCCTTTAATATGTTTATTGCTTTCGTTATCAATTGCACGATAGTACTTGCACGAGGCACATCGTTTCATATCGGCGCGTTATCTTCTCTAATATCACTATTATTCTCTTAGCGTAATTTTCTTTCGAAATTACTACCGCGATAGGATAATATAATTTTTTATAAGCAACAATTGATTGAAAATTTCTTCTATTAATTAGCTATTGAGTTTTATAATTCAGATATTTTAATTTCCGGTTTTTTATTCTCTATTTTAACTTTTACTCGTATGTATTCACATTTATTATTATAATTTTAACTTTTAATATATCTACATCACAATATGCTTGATAGTAAGCTCTAATGCCGCAAATCGTGATTGTAAGTATTTTTCGCGTAAAAAGAGCACAGAAATCGCGCGCTCAAGTTTAAGCAAAATACAATCGTGATGACTAGCGTGCAGAAATTAATTATGTACTTTTCAATCTTCTTCCGATAATTATGCATTATAGGGGATATCTGTGTTTAAACACAAATTCAGCCAAAATAATATATATATAATTTTGGGTACTATATATCTTGGAATTCCACTTCGAAAGTCACGCCAGACATAGTAATCGCGAGTAATCGCGTAAATTTTATAGTAATCAAGGCCCAAAAAATAAAAGTTCAAAAATTCGCAAATTAATATGAGTTCATAAATGCACCTTTATAGAGTAATCCTTTTATTTAAAATATGATAAATTTAAATGCATAGGTGCGCGGAGGAGGGGCTCCCTTTGCCCACGGATTTAATTTACATTTAAATAAAAAATTGTATAAACAGCACGTTATAAATATATACATAGTGTCCATAAATTACGTTCTATGTTGTAAATTTATTTTGTTAATAATTTTTTAATAAACAACGAGCGCCAGCTAAAACCTTTTGGGACTGTGACCTCGACAATCTATGTCAAGATCAAAGTCATTTGGAGCTGCATCCCCTGAAATGCACAATTATCCTTCCTTCTTTTTTGTTTCCTATTATGAATGCAACAGAATGTCGAACGTATCTTAGCTCGATGATTTTATCTTTGTCCTTATCTAATAAAGTGTGCGTCGAGAATGTCGTTAAAAATATTGCGCAATTATTCTATTTATGTCGCGAACACGTGCAAGTTCTTTGAAGGATTGCGATAAGAAAAAGGAAACTCAATGGAAGCAAGAACACCAGCGAAGCAATGTATCATTGCGAAGCAAGGTTCATTAATCAAACGTTTGTTTATTTTTATCTCCATTATAGCTTTTATTTAAATCATCGGAGTCTTTATAATTTTAATTAATTATCCGTTTATTATTTGTTATTTGCGCAAAATATTATATTATGAAATTGAACATAAAATATTTGAAATGTTTAGGAAAATATTCAATAAAATATTTATAATATTATTATTTAAAATAATTAAATTTTTGATATTTATTTTATTAGCTATTTGCGTAAAAGAGAAATAAAAAGCTCAATGTGCATTTAATTATTGTTTAGATATTCATTATTTTGAAAACTGCTATGATCTGGGCATTTTCTTGTATTTTACAGATCAACTTTGTGCAGATTAACGGAACAACTTTATAGCTGCGTCGTAATGGTGAGTTCAATTTTATTTCAATATTATGTAAACAATGAATTTAAAAATTATATAAGATTTATATTTTTGTGATTAACGCAGTGCGCGGATCATATAATATTAAATAAATTATCTTTTATCGAGTAGCTTTTTGAATGTCAGTTCTCAAAAAATTTATAAGAGAAACTTATTTATTTCGACGTATAATACAAAAATATGACTTTTATATCACTCTTGTTTCTCAAGTCGCGAGAATGAGTCTTTTCAAAGACGCAACAGGAAGCGGTTCGAGTGACAGAATCTTTTGTCAACCGCGAGATAACAAGCGTGCGAGAGGCTTTTCTTATCCGTGAGAGTAAGCAAAGAAAATCTAGAACGATTTATTGTCCTCGAGAGAATAAATTATCATTTTCCCATTATTCTCGTCTAGTCGCTAATATTATCTCACGAGAATAAATATGATTATCTTAATAAGTATCTTAATATAATGTTAATTAATTATTTTAATCATCTTTGTAATATACACTATTACAAAGCAAATTAAATTCAATTTCCTTACCGATACACGCGTGCGGGCCTTCTCCAAATGGGAAATAGACACATGATGGTCTGTTGCGTTTGTTCTCCTCGTTAAATCGCTCCGGATCGAATTTCTCTGGATTGGGAAAATATTCCGGATCGTAGTGCATACCGAGCATTGAAATGAAAATCGGCGTACCTTTCTCAATTACAATATTGGAATTTGGCACTTTATAAGTCTTCGTTGTGATGCGATTTATATGTCCCAATGGCGGATGCATTCTCAAAGATTCCGAGATTACCATATCCAGATATGGTAATGACATTGTCTATCGGAATAAAATAATAACTAAATGATTAATGGAATTGAAAGAAGAAGTTGATTAGACAGTACAATGTTCATCTTATTTGCATTAAGCTTATTATAAAAAGTGCTATTATAAAAAGTAACAGCAAAACAGCGTATTATTTGCCTACCATGTCGTACGTAATTTTTCCATCGGATGCATCGAGTCCCTCGAGAATCTCTTTTCGCAGTTTGTCTTGCATTTCAGGTCTTATTGCGAGTGAATATAACGCGAAACTCAATGTCGTTGCGGAGGTATCAGAGCCTGCTGAGAAAAAACTGGCTGCTTGTGCCATAAGATCGTCCCCATCATATGCTAAAATTTAGTTTATATATAGACTTTTCAAGATCTTCATTACTTGCCAATATTATTTTTAATTACTAAAATTATGTTTTTTTACTTACAAAAATCTTCAAGCTTATTATCGGGATTTTGCTTGAGTTCGATAAGCATTTCAATAAGATCGTTTCTCTTCTCGCCAGACTTTAGGCGTGCAGTGATTGTCTCCCAAAAAACCTTGCGCAGGAATTTAGTTGGCTCTTCGCCAAAAAACTTTATACCGACCAAACTAACTATATTTGGAATGAAAAATACCGCGAGCATTTCATACGCGCGGATAATGCTAAAGCGAAACAGCATCTTGCTGTACTTGCAGAATTCAGCGTTCGGATCTTTGAACGAATTCACTTCAAGTCCAAAAGCGGTGCTGCCGATTAAATCAGTCGTAAATTTGATGGCGAGTTCTTTCATTTCTATCGTCTTTCCGTCACCTGTCAATAATATTATCAGCAGATTTAATTCATTTAGCTATATCTATATATTTTCAGATATTTCTCATATTTTTACTATTAAACGTAAATATTGAGAGCTGCAGAGTATTGAATATACGTAATTTCGAAAACAAAACAATATGTTCTTTTTTTAGGCTTAGAAGTATAAAGGTAAAGAATTTTTAAAAAACGGCTTAAAAAACGCAAAAGTGCAAACTTGAAGCTTTAAAATGCTTTTTTAATTTCTTGTCTACTGCTCTGCCGCGTTGAAACGTTTCAAGTACTTATAATTGTGTAATATTTGAACGAGTTGTAACTCGGCGAAAAATATTGTAGACAAAAAATGAAAACAACATTTTAAAACTTAAAGTCTGTACTTTTATGTGGTTTCAGTCGCATTTAAAAATGTGGTATTTTTACAATCCTGAGCTCGAAAGAACACATTGTTTTGTTCTTAAAATTACGTACTTTCAACACTATGTAGCTTGATAAAAAATTTTTCTCGCAAAATTTATGACAAGTTGTGTCAAAATTGTGAGTCAATTTATGTCAAATACTACAATATTTTACCTATTTTTAAATCAACCCTACATTTTATAAAAAATAATACCAGTAGCATTAGCGTAAAAAATACAGATTTAGCTTCAAAGTCGCGTAACTCGGACAAAAAATTCCGGCTAAATAAAAAAAGCGTTTCGTAGGTAAAATGTTATAGTTTTTCACACTTGTTATCCTCTTAAATTATTTACTCACCCTCAAATTCCAGTGAATCAAGATAATCGTCTAAATGGTTTCCACATTGACACATTAAATCAAACATCTTTTTCATTTTGCCGGACGTGAAAAATGGCGTTAATTTTGTTCTCAAATTCTTCCAATCTGTATCTTTTATGAAGAAGAGATTGGCGTAATTCAGGCGATCTTTTGGATCCGCTAAAGCGTAACGGTTGTTGAAATGATTAAAATCTTTCACTAAAATTTGCTTGACAAGTTCTCGGTCACGAATCAGCAGAATGGGTTTATCCAGAATATAAAAACCCACACAAAGTAATCCTTTCGCTTGATCATAAAACTCTTTTAAAAAGTCCGCCGGTGCTTTCTTGAAACGTAGACAATCCGAGAAATTGCCAAGGAAAGGTGTTGGTGGTGCCACTTCCAAAATGCCTCGTTTCTTCCAATAATTGAAGTTGCGAATCATGTAGAGATAGAAAACTGTTATAATAGCCGTTAGGACTATTATGCCGTCCAGACTCCAGTAAGCCGTTATGTATGCCATTTTACACTGTGTTGATAAATTTGTCCCTTGCTGCGTTTAACTGTAAAATATATGTGTTAATGAAAATAACTAATTAATAAAGAAATTCTTCTTCTGTGATATTTATGAAGACAGATTTTTTGAAAAGCTTGTGAAATGTTGATAGTATAAATTAATAATATGAATAAAGTAGACTTGTAATAATTCTGCATAGATAATATGCATAGATAAGATATTATAACCGAGGCGTAGAATAATTAGAAAAATCCATGTTTGCTGAATGAAAACTGTGCTGCGCGAGATACAAAAAAAATTGAGTGCTCTATTGATAAATTTTGATTATCCAACAAGATTGTTCTTGTGGATAAACTGCACTGAACATTCCGCTTGCTGGGTGTGGTATGAATGAATTATAAATTAGATTACATAATGGCATAAATTAGGTCTTACACTATTGCACATTATTTAAATCACTATACAAAATAAAAGATGTTTTACATAAACTTATCAATGTTCAAATCTGTATCAGCGTTCTTTCCGTGTAAACTGGACTGTAACAGATTGCTCTTGCGGATGAACTGCACTGGAGTTGCATTCCGCTTGTTAGGTGTGGCATGTGAAATGTAAATTAGATTACGTCAATGGCAAAAATTAGATCTTGCGTTATTGCGCATTGTTAAAATTACTATATAAAGGAAAAAATGTTTCATATAAACTTATCAATTACATATCGAACTAATTTATCTACATATATAATTTTAAATTATGTTAAATTGTATTAAATAGCGCACACATAATTTTTGAAACAGCTTTAATAATTAATATCTTGTTCAAACACTCTTTCTTTGAAATTTTTCAGCTAATATCGTTGCAAAAATATTGTATAGTGATGATATTGTCGTATCCCCATCTATAATTCTTCCTCTCACTGCATTTTCTTTTATTATGGGCACTATTACTCCAACCTTTCATCTTTCTGGCTATCTTCCTCCGCCATATATTCTTTTATTTTCTTTCATGCTATATATCTTTTTATGTATAATATTTTCCACACTCAGTTCACAATTTCTTCTGCTATATCGCTTTCTTATTCTTCTGTTTTGTCATTGTCTTCCCTACGTTCTCTCTTTTTATTCTCTCTTCTTCATCATTCTTTCTTTTTCCTCTCTTCTTCTTCTTCTCTCCTTTTTTTTGCCATTCTGTTATAATAACGTAGTAAACTTTCATAACATGCAGAGACGACGGTAATTATATACTGTACTGTTTCAATTCTCTTTCTTTTACACAATATATATAT